GTGAGTATGTGTGCGTGCGAGTATGTGAGTGTGTGTGTATGTGTGTGTATGTGTGTGTGTATGTGTGTGTGTATATTGTGTGAATGTGTATTTTGTGTGTACGTATGTGTGTATGTGTATGTGTTGTATGTATGTGTGAATGTGTGTGTGCGTGTGTGTGTGTGTGTGTACGTAAGTGTACATGTGTGTAGGGGTGTGTGTAGGGGTGTGTGTGTGGGGGGTGTGTGGGTGTGGGGGTGTGTGGGGGTGTGGGGGTGTGTGTGAGGGTGAGGGGGGGGTATAAAGTCCACACCGTGTTCAAAATAAACATCCATGCTGTATTGTAACTTCCATCATGAAAACTGATACGTGTACTAAAGCAAGCCAAACTGACCTGAGAATGTCTGAAAGAGCCTCAAGCCCGAACTTAGTGACGCAGTAAGGGGCAGTAAGAGCCGCAACACGTCCTGCACAGCTAGTCATGTTCACCACTCGGCCACCAACTTTTCTCAAAGCAGGTAGGAACGCCTTTGTCATCTCAATGGGACCTAAGAGGTTCACTTTTATCGCCGCCTCAAAGTCCTGCTTGGTACAGATCTCAACTGGCGCTAACAGTCCAGTGACTCCTGCGTTGTTTACCAGAGCCCACAAACCTGAGTAGAAATTCAATAACACACTGCTTAGTTTTAGTAAGAGTTTTTACGGCACTTGCAACACAATTAGGCCGTATGAATAGACTGTGCATGTAGACCGCCCAAATGCACTTTCTTCAAAGTATTATCTTTACATGGAAGTTTAGAGTTCGAATCTCAGTGGAAGGGGGGCGGGTGGTTGAAGAATGATCCACCGGCTAAATGCCATATCGTCGGCCAATTTCTTTTCTTAACGTTTGGTAGAGGGGCATAAATTGCATTTTCTTGATCTGTGGTGGTGGTTGTTACATGTTCTTCAGAAGTATCTTGTCGAAATTCAAATTCTCATTGTTAGAAAATAAAATACCAAACGATAAATCGTTCAGAAAAGATTAGGATTATCAAGACATTCCAGTTTGTCTTTGAATTATTTTCACGGAAGTCGGGGGTGAGGGCATGTGAAACTGCTTGTTCTGGATGAGTTTTCTTTCTGTGAAAGAGAGATAGGAATGGAGATCTTTTGAGGTGTCTGGTAAGCCGGTCAGTGCGCATAGAGTCTCAGTCAACAAGAGGCGGTTCTGGGTTCAAATCCCAGTGAGGTCTATGTTTTCCTGAATTAAATAGTGTGAAAGAAGTGCTTGAAGGAAAGATGTGGGGCGGGAGAGGCAGAGGAAGGGAAAGAATAACATGGATGGACAACGTAAGAACATAGACTGTCTGGATATGGGAGAATGTGCAACAGCAGCTCGCGCCCGTGAAGAATGGAAGGTCATTACACGTCAACTTCTGAATAAAAGATGGCGCCTGCATGTATCCAGTCTCCTTAGTTTTAGTAAGGTTTTACGGCGCTTGCAACTGCATAGGGTCATATGAGCGCCAAGGGGTGGATGTCAACATAGAAGTCCAAACGGGGAATCAGGCTTACTCTGCTCACCTCTCTAGCATCAACAGCACGAAGACAGCTTCTACTATCAAGGTACCCCGGAAATAGATGTTCACAAGAGAGTGACAAACATACAAAAGAAGTAAAGGGGAAAAATTACGATAGTAAGGATGGGGGAAGAAAAAGCAGCAGTTCCCACTATGTCGTCCCGCCACAAAATGAGCATGTCATTGATACACCAGCCCATGTACAATTCTGCTAAACAAAACAACAATAAAAAAGATAAGCATTTAAGACAATTAACATTTTGAAGTAGTATGATCATTCAACTAAACAATACTACCTGAGTCATTGTTGAAAAAAGGTTTTGGCAATGTTGGGCTTTTTTTACATCAATCTCGACTCATAATTCTATTCATGCAATACCTCCTCTGACATATTTTAGGTGAGTAACTTCATTTCTTGGACTTGTTTTATTAGTTTCGTTGCAGTAATCAGAGACCTGTAACCCCCCCCCCCCCCAAAAAAAAAAAAACACCTTTTTTTTCTTTCTTTCTCTAGAGCTCAAGGCAAAAATTGAAAATAAATTCATGGGGGGTTTTTTGTTGGGTTTTTTTTGTTGGTTTTTTTTTTAGCTTTCAGTAATTTATGTATTTATTTTTAATTCTAAGATTGCTGAGAATACAGCAAAAGTGTCTGATCATTTTCGAACCTCGCTTACCCTTTTGTACCAGCTTCTCCCTTACACCTCTCTCAGCTTCCAGAATGCTGTTTGAGTCGGAAACGTCGAGAGGAAAGACCGTCAGCCGAGTTGAGCAACGTTGTTTGAGGTTCTGTTGACCACTCTCGGTTAAGCATCCAGCGAAGACGTGAAAATTCATCGAGTCTAGTCGTCTGTTGAGCATATGAGAAGAAAAAAGATTGCAAATACTCTACATATTGCAAGACGTGTATTTAAACTTCGTTCTGTAACCTCATATAAATAGAAATTATGAATTCGGAAAAGCAATATTTCTCAACGTCATTATAATATTAAAAGACACTGTGTTCCTACATCTGATAAAAGTATTTTAACTAATTCATCTTGCAACCATCACACCCCAACCTCATCGTAACCCCCTTCTTATTAATGGTATATCTTTTTAATGAACGAATGGATGAATTACAAGATGAATGAATGAATGAATGAATGAATGAATGAATGAATGAATGAATGAATGAATGAATGAATGAATGAATGAATGAATGAAATAACACATCTGATACACATATTCATTACTGTGAGCTCCTAGCTGTACCGTAGAACAAGTAAGACACACACTAATGACGTTACCGTAACACCAATTGCTCCATACCGAGAAAAAAAACTAAGATAAATTAACACATAAAATAAACACATTTAAACAAAACAAAAGCAGACAAAAAAGAGACGAGTCATTTTGGTTCTCAGTTGGTATCTTGTTGGGTCAGGGTGTTAGCGTTCCTACTTCACAATTTGGTTGTTGTTGTTGTTGTTGTTGTTGTTGCTGTAGTTGTTTTTGTTGTTGTTGTTGTTGTTGTTGGGTCAGGGTGTTAGCGTTCCTAGTTCACCATTGGATATGGGTTTTCGTTGTTGTTGTTGTTGTTGTTGTTGTTGTTGTTGTTGTAGTTGTTTTCGTTGTTGTTGTTGTTGTTGCTGTAGTTGTTTTCGTTGTTGTTGTTGTTGTTGCTGTAGTTGTTTTCGTTGTTGTTGTTGTTGTTGCTGTAGTTGTTTTCGTTGTTGTTGTTGCTGCTGTAGTTGTTTTCGTTGTTGTTGTTGTTGCTGTAGTTGTTTTCGTTGTTGTTGTTGCTGCTGTAGTTGTTTTCGTTGTTGTTGTTGTTCTTGCTGTTCTTGTTGTTATAATTTGTTTTAACCTTTTTTCTTTTTGTTTGTTTGGTGGGGCACAGTTGTTTTGTTTGTTTTCTTGTTTTTGTTTTGTTTGTTAAGGCGTTGTTGTTCTCGGTCTTACTGACCAGGATCTATCTGAAATAAATGAAGCACACAGGTTGTTACCTTGAACAGCCAAAAGATATAATATATTTTTTATGTGTATATATCATCGTTCATTTTATTTTTATACTTCCCAGTTGATTGAGAATGTGTCATATTTATTATATGGTCGCTTTGAAGGACAAGTGGGCTAACCACGATGTGTGTGTGGGGGGGGGGGGGGGTGTCCAGAATTCTTGACCTACTCCAAAAGTGAGCATTGCCCTACCTATAGTAAAAGTTTGATTTCATTGGTGCGTATATTTTGTTTGGTTATAGAGACAACTTACTCTCATCGTCTTTTAACGAAACTGAACGAGGGGGAAAAACTTTACCTTCAATTTTCTCAAAACAGCATTTTTCAGGATAGCCCCCCTTGTACTTAAAAGCGACAATATTATTATTGTAAAACACATAGTTTTCTGCCTACCTGGAATTTGCTCTGTTTTAGTAGAGGTTTTACGGTGCTCGCAACTGCATACGGTCATATGAGCGCCAGAATTTGCTCTACACAAAAGATAATACCTATTATTATACGTTAAACGAGAAGAAAGCCACTTACATCGCTAGCTCGTGCCCAAAGCCAGTGTCACATCCTGTAATAAGAACGTTTTTTCCCTCCAATTCTTGGAGCTTGAGTGAGCGAAACCAGCGGTTCAGAAGATAGGCCAGCACTACCACAACAGCGAGAGTGACGAAGAGCATGTTGGTCGTCTGTTTGTGAGGATCTGAAACAAGTAGTTACTGGTAAAAGTACCATAGTTAATTAAACGTTGTAACTGTCGTTTTAAATGTATATCCTCCGAATAGTTTGTTCATGGGCTCATTAACAGTTAATAACTTATTTGTTTTATTCCTTTTTTAAATTTTAATTTTGATAGGGTGAGTCACAGTTGCCTTGCCTTTTTATTTATCTGTTTTGTTTGGGTGCGGGATGTGGATTTGTTTTGTTTGTTTGTTTGTTTGTTGTTGTTGTTGTCGGGGGGTTTTTTGGGGGGGGGTTAGCAATGTTTTCGCTTTGGAGAAAAATAATTACACAAATGAATAGATTAGTTGAGAAACATGTTTTTAGCTTCACACAAATGGGACATCAAGGCAACTTATAATATACGTCATCAGATAGATAATTGAATGATTATAGTTTTACAAAATATGTCTGCTTATTGATTTTGACATGTGACATCCATGTGCGTAAAGCGTAGATAATAGGCAAAAAAATATTATGTCGAATTAACGTGTTAAATCATTTTCATCATCATCATCATCATCATCATCATTATCATCATCATCATCATCATCATCATCATCATCGTCATCATCATCATCATCACCCTTGTTTTAAGGTGCAATTTAAAAAAAGTAGTTTGAGACTAGCATTCGAAGGTGAAAGAGTAGGTAGGTAGGTATTGTGTGTGTGTGGATTGTTTGTTCGTTGGGTTTTTTTGTTTGGTTTTTTTTTGTACGTGTTTTATGGCACTCGCAACTGCATAAGGTCATAATATGAGCGCGCAAAACACATTAAACATTTTCATTTGAGAGGAAGCCTACCCTTATTGATTTTGAACCACGAACGGATCTTTAACGTGCGCAACTTGCACATGGGAACTCCTAGATTTTTCGCCCTTGTCCGAGAAGGCCAGGTGTAGATCTTTCCTACAAGAAGATCAGGGGTGTGGCTGATCGACAGCAATAAGAAGGAGCCAAGGAGTAGCAGTAGAAAGGCTGCAGAAAGAGTCAGGGGCCCAAAGGAGGGGGCAAGGGAGGCGAGGGGGTGGGGACAGAAAGGGGGGGGGTGAAAGCAGACGACAGAACAATGCTTGAGAGCAGGAAAGGAGGTGAAGGGAGAAAATTATTTTAAAGAAAATTTTTCGGCCGCTTCCCGGATTCGAACCCGGGACCTTTG